CAAGGTTAAACTGCATTTTCCAGAAAGAAATGATGAACTCTTTGCTGTATAAATGAAGCAGAAGTGCATCGACTTTCACATCCATCTCACGTGAGGGGAAAAAGACTTTGAGGTGCTTTATTTTAAATGTTGTGCAAGCCAGTTGTTTTGCAGGCAAATACTTGCTGATGAAATTATGTTAGTAAACTTGCCTGCAATTTTAGGGAAAAAAAGTTCTGCTTGTAAAAGGAAAACATCAATAGTTTTTTAATTTATTTACTCTAACATTACTTTGCTTCTTCGTTATCATTTTTGACTGTACTCCACTGGGACTCTTCCAGATGAACTCCATGAAGTCTATCTAACAAAATTTGTCTTGAAGGTATATTTAACTTGGTTCATAACTCCTCGGCTTTGCTGATTTAAATACTCTTCAGTGGTTACCGTGAATAAGATTTTGCTTCTGAGATCACATTTGGGAAGGTGAGAAAGCAGCCTGAAGGATTCTTAAACCTTTACAAAAAGGCAACTCGCGGTCTTGTCCCTCTGTTTACTGGTACTCAGCTGCTAGTGTACAGTGTCAGTACCAAAATCCCTGCTGATTTCAGAGCAATAAGTAGAATTTGAGATAAACTCCACCATAAACCAAACCTGAATGATCACTATTTGCAGCGAAGTCTGAAGTAGAGCGTTTGGTGGTGTGATGAAGGGCTCCCATTGTGAATGCTGGGAAGGTTATTGGCTAGGCTGCAGCTTATGTGCTTTCTGCTGTGGAATGGATTTGTTTGCAGAACATGTGGTGGAAGGGATACAGCTGTGTTTACTAAATGTCCTAAGAAGTATATACTAAGACTGTATTTAGATGGAGACAATCTTTTGGCATGAAAATGTGCAGCCATGTTAAAATTCTGAGGTAGACAAATAGAACTAGGTAATAAAACAAATTAAAAAATACCAAGTTATATGAAAAGTTCTCCCCTCGGGAAAGTATATATAGCTGTCAGATACGTTTGATATCAAGGCTGGATGTGGCCATCATATCATGAATGGCTTAGGTTGGAAGGGACTTTAAAGATCAGCTAGTTCCAACTGCTTGCCATGGGCAGGGTTGCCAGCCATTAGGTCAGACTGCTCAGAAACCTTGAATGCCTCATCGTAACAGGGAAGGGGGTGAGATGGGGGTAACATGGAGAAATGTGCAGTAACTTCTGTCATGGACCAAGTCAGGCAGCACTGATGAAGTTGTTGAGGCCGCTGTGGTAAAATAGATCATCTGCGTTTGACATTATTGGGCTAAACAGAAGATATTTCCTCCCTTTCTACCTGGCCTTGAATTAGCTTAAGCTTCCAGGTGCTTATCAATGTTCTCAAGGTAGCTTGCTTGTACTATATGTTGTTATTTCTGAATCTGACTTTGCATACTTACAATTTGTAGGAATTTAAATAGAAGTTTCTCAGAAATGTGCCAATTGACCTGGAACTGATGATTTTCTTGCTTCAAATAACAAGTGCTAATGTCTGCCTTGACTGTAAAAATAACATCTGAACTATGACTTATAAAAAGGACAGTAATTTTCTTCTGTGAGTCTTGTGTATGTGTGACAATGGAAATCTCTTGTTCATCTATTTCTCACCTCTTGCCTCAAACGTGACTTTCATAGATGCATCTGCTAGGCACCAAAACTCCCCCTAAAACGTAACTATCATTGTTTCTTTCATAACTGAAGAGACTTAGAGACCATGCAGTCTATAGCAAGAAAATATGAAGTGTCTCCATGACTAAAGTATTACAAGATGTCCTACTAAATGTTATTTTAAAGCTGCGTCCTCGCTCAGGCTTGATTTGTAGCAGAAACGTTCGAAAAAGTCCCGTCCATCTACAGAACTCCGAATGGCTGTGTTGTGGCACAAATCAGGCTGTAGATGGCAGCGTTGCTGCATGCCAAAGGCCATCCCCTGCTCGCTCAGCTCTGAAAGGGTTTGATCGGAGCTTTTGAAAACATGTATTTGGTATAGGATGTGGCAAGGGTTTGATAGCGCTCGTTTCTCCATAGAATTGAATATCAGGAAGATACAACGTGAGAAGGGTTAAAATGTGCATGCAATGGTGCTTCCAAATGCATTGGTTGCGTGGTTTCCTCTCTTGTAGGAACTGTAAAAGCTGGGTCTCTTTCAGCTCCCTATGAGACCTGCATTGACAAATAATTTCTTAAAGAATTTCCTTATTTTCATCTTTGGGGGGTTTGGATACCTTCTAAGAGATTTCTAAAAATACTACTATAGCAATGATGTTCTGGAAGACACTGAAAAACCACAGAAGCTGGTAGAAATAAGTCTGGATTTGTAGCCTCCTGGCCTTATGTGGAAGACATCCCTATACAGGGATACAGGCCAGCAGTTTGACTTTGTGTAGTGGATACGCTTGTTATTTTTATGGTAGCCCTACTGAAAGACACGACAGTAAATAAAAGCAGGTTTTTGAGGTAGTGTTTTCCTTTCCTTTATTAATTGTTTGGCTGTTTCTGATAGTAATTACACCTTGAATAATTCCAGGAATTAGGGTTGAGGTGAAAAACAGATGGGATGAGCTTGATGTGACAGCTAAATTGCAGAGACTGATAGAAGCATTGGTGTAAGGCAAGGCAGGCTGTGCATCACTTCTTTAGCTGTCCTGCCTGGCTTGGCTACCTTCCAGATCTGAAGCCAAGTACAATAAGATTTAAAAAATGATAATAATTAAGAAAGTATCCAGTGACTATGCTGGGAGGTTTTAATTACAAATTTACGGGGATTATCGGCCATAGTCTCTATAAGTCTTTTCTTGGTACTGCCAGCTGCATTTAGGCCACTGGTCAGGTCTGCAGTTTGCAAAGAATCATTATTCTGTCTCTTGCCTGCACATAGGTGTACTAACAAGGTTTCCATCTTTCCAGTCAACATTGTTTTTGCATCTTGATCAGGTAATGGTCTAGCTCGGTATGCCTGTCCAAGACATGAATTAAACCATATTGCTGAAGTAAATCTGAAACAAAGTCCTTGGCCCATACTTCTGTAGCTCTTGTAGGCAGCTGTTCATTTGGCACATTGCCCCACAGTCCTCTTCCCATGCTGGATGCTTGTTTATATTCTCTGTCCCCCAGTGTGTGAGGCTGGCCTGTTCCCTGTTCATCTAAGTCGCAAGAAAGATGAAGACCATGGTGCCTTCAGGGGCGAATTGTGTATGAGATGGACCTTGAAGGAGTAACTAAAAGGACATCTTTGAGCCACAGGTATGTAGTGGAACAGCCAATTCTCAGTGAGGTTTTGGCCCAGTTTCTGGAGATGGTCCAGAGCAAAGCAGATTCTGATAATTACGCTATTTCTAAGGTAGCAGCAAGTGGAGGCTGCTTTTAAGCCTCAGATCTACAGAGAGGTTTAGCTCTCTGACTGAAATTCTGTGGAAGTGAAATATATCTGAAGGAAAGAGAGCTCAAGGAGCAGCAAGATGGAAGAATGTGTTTGAGAATGTGTTTGAGGGGTGTAAGGGAATGAGAAGTTCTACTCTTGAGAATGTATAACTTTTTAAAAATCTTGAGTGGTATGGCACAGGAAAGAAGTATATTTATTAAAATTAAAACACATAAAAAACGTTTCATGAATATGTAAAGTAAAAAGGCAGATAAACTTGCTGAGTTTACAGTAATCAATCAGCTATTTTGAAAAGACTTAGGTGGCAGCCATGTGAAAGATAAGGCAAGGCACTCTTTTAAGAGGCATATTACTGAACTACCGAACTACTGAATTTTTCTTAGCATATCATGTTTCATTTTTTTCACCTTACACGGTGTTGAGCTTGGAAAGGAAAATATCAAGAAAGCATCATTAATTCATCAGCTAGAAACAGAGACTGAAATATAGCTGGCAGTAAAAGCATCTTCAGTCTTATTAGGACAAATTTTGATTGACTGTTCTTGGAAAGGAATGCTATTTCAGTTTGTCACAGTTATTCTGGGTAAATGGTTATGGGCAATACTGCTTTCACTTCATGTTTTTGATTCCATAAAATTATGTCTACTGCTTTTGCAGTAACCATCTTATAACTTCCTGGGTTTTTTGTTTTTAATAATACATTTTAGCAATTACAGATGCTCCTAGAGCTTTTGTTCTTAGAAATTGTACTGCAGTTACTGTTATCTGCTTTATTTCTCTGATAGATGACCCTAAGCCATTGTGAAATTACTTCTGCATGAAATACAAAAACTTTAGAATAAATATTCTTATTTATACTTAGCCATGCAGAATAATTTCTTTGCTTATTCTGGGAAATGTAAGATGGCTACTTCTTATGGATTGCATTTGAACCTACTAGTGCCAGCATTCTAATGTACAAATCAAGCAGATAAAACACTCGAACTCCAATTGAGACCAGTTGTATTTTGTGCTCTTGTATTAACTGTGTACAGGCTAATAGAAACAGTATTGATATTTTATACTTGCTGTATTTTTTGTTTTTATTATATACTTTCTATGTTATAATAACATGTGTACTCAACTTTTTGTTCCTTAAAGCCAGTAACTGGATGTTTCTCATACCTAAACTAGTTAGAACTGTGTTCCAAATTCTGATTAATTTTTTTTTAAGGCTAAGAAATCCATTTTGTGGATTCACTTTTAAGAGTCTCTCTGCCTCAGCTGGTCTCTGTAATGAGGACAGGGTTCATTAGCAGCTACATTGAATGCTATTGCTCTGAAAAGATTTGATAGATCGTCTAAGCCTTGCTGGTTCTTGTGGAGAATGAAATAAGGGAGATGTGATCATTTACAAGATTCTCTCAAAAAATAAGGAACAGTCCCTATTACAAATAAATTTGGATGAATCCTACAGATAGCCTGAGCACATGGGATTTGATTGCTTGTATTTCTGGGAGTGCCCTTTGGAATTTGGCCATTGGCACGCAGATATAGGAAGTTGAGTAATTTCTGCAATAATTAGCTAATCACCATGCATTGGCTGCTAGGCAATAAGCAATGTAAGTCACTAAACCTGGTGTTCATTAAATCTGGTCTTTCTGGAGCAAGTGAGTAGATCAATGATACATCTCTGTGCTGTTCAGTTGTGAGTAAATATAGCATCTGCTAAGGCTGTAAACTATTATTTTTCATATAATTAAAAAAAAAAAAAAGGCACTGGAATGTAACCTTCAGTGATAGGCATTGAGTTAAAAGATGGGTTTAAAACTGAGTGATGAAAATGAAATGAGACATTATCACTAGCACTAATGTGGGACTGTGGCAGATCTGATCGTTGATTTTTCTTTTTTTTCCCTCTTTCTATATTAGGAGTCTTAAAAGGGGGGCAACACAGCTTCTTTTGATTCTTCTGTAAAACACAAAACCTGCTGCAAACTTCTGAGCTATTTCCTTGTAAGTTGTTGCCTAAGTTGAATTACACTCCCTGTTAATCAGCGTTTACTTGGTTCATTCGCTGTTTGAATTATTGCTTAATAGGCCACATCTTAAGTGACAGAGGTGTGCAAGTAAGTATGTTTTTGTCCAGTTGTCTTTGTTTTTATGATTTCCAATCTGTCTGTAACATCTTCGAGGAACAGGAAGCAAAGGTAGGGAAGGGTATTTCAGGAGGCTTTTGGCTGCTGCATCTCTAGTGACACCTTGTGGGATGTTTTGCAGGATCTTCAATTTCTCTTCAAGGAATAAATAAACTGAAATACTTATTTGATAAAAACTTGTCCAGACACTCCACAGTGGGATATGGTTAAGTTTTTACACCAGTCTGGAGTGTTGCTCTCCCCAACCTCAGGAATGGCATTTTAACTGGGAGTTGGTAGGATGAAATGCAAAACCAAGATGCTTTTTGGCAACTAAGGACAGCAAAGAACTGAAAGATGGGACTTGGTTCATCATATTCTGATTATGTTGGATTTTCCTTCACAACATTTCTTAGGTTTGCTATGCTCTAGGTCAGATCTTCACCCAAGTGATGACACCAAGCTGGTAGACACATTTAGAAGGAAGAGATGCCATACAGATGGATGGATCTTGACAAACTTGAAAGATTGGCCTGTGTGAACCCCATGAGGCTCTGCATAGCAAAGTGCAAGTTTTTGTACTTAAGTTGGAGTAATCCCAGATATGCAAACAGGCTGGGAGAAGAACTCCTTGAGAGTAGCTTTGCTGAGAAGGACCCAGGGGTCCTGGTGGATGAAAAACTGAACAAGAGCTGTGCTCTTGCAGCTCAGGAGGCCAGTGGTACCATGGACTCTATCAGAAGAGGGGTAGCCAGCAGGGGCAGGGAGGTGATTGTCGTTCTCTACTCTGCCCTTGTGAGGCCCCATCTGCATCCAGGTCTGGGCCCCCAATACAGAAAAGACAGAGAGTTGTTGGAGAGGGTCCAGAGGAGCCACAGAGATGATCAGGAGGCTGGAGCACCTCCCCTATGAAGACAGGCTGAGGGAGCTGGACTTGTTCAGCCTGGAGAAGACTGCTGGGTGACCTTATTGCAGCCTTCCAGTACCTAAAAGGAGCCTATAAACAGGAGGGAAGCCAACTCTTTACAAGGGTAGATAATGGCAGAACAAGTGGAAGTGGTTTTCAGTTGAAGCAGGGAAGATTTAGGCTGGATGACAGGGGGAAGTTCTTTACAGAGTGAGTGGTGAGGTGCTGGAACAGGCTACCCAGAGAGGTTGTGGATGCCCCATTCCCGGAGGTGTTCAATGCCAGGTTGGATGGGGCCCTGGGCAGCCTGGTCTAGAACCAGATCTGAGATTGGTGGCCCTGCCTGTGGCAGAGCAGTTGAAACTTAGTGATCCTTGGGGTCCCTTCCAACCCAAACCATTCTATGATGATTCTATGATTCAGGTTTAGAGCTGAGGTTTCAGAACTGAGATAGCAAATTAACTGAAGTATCTTTTCTCAGCATACTGTATGTGTTTCTCTGTTTGTTTGTTTGTTTGTTTGTTTGTTTGTTTTAACTGATATATAAGTGGTCTTTACTTGAAAATAATTGCTAATGTTTCTGAATTATTTGGCAGTATAATCAGACTTTTAGTCCTGCTTCTGGAACAAGAAACAAGTACCAAAGCACTCTAGCTGATCTTTTGCAAACAGCAGTTAAAATGGAATCTCCATTAACAGAGTCCTGGCTTATGATTTTTGTTTTGCTAGTTTTTCCCCAGTGTGAAAGGATGAAGCCTATTGAAGTAACCTCACCTTGCTGACTCAGCTAGTCATAAATGCAACAGAGCTTCACATCAGACTGTTCCTCTGAACTACTCTAGGCAAAAAGGGATGGAGGTAATGCACTTGAAATAAGCAGGTCCTTTGGGCTATAACTAACACCTTAGCTTATTTTTTTTCTTGAAACATTAATCACACCACAAACAACACCTTTCTCCCCCCCTCCTCCCACCCCCAAAACCTATTTGACTATTTGGCATGCTTTTAACATTCCATTTTGTGTTGCACCAGGTAAGACAGTAACTTCTTTATGTAGCTTTGAGTTCTGGGTATGTAGTAGCTTTAAAAGTAACATATATACAGTTTCACATTCTGTGGCTACATGCCACTAAGAGTTGCTTCTGGAACTTGAGGACTTCCAGTGATATGTAGTCTATATGAAGGTTACAGGGTGAAAGTTGTCATTTTCATCAGTGAGATTTGTGAATGTCATGAAAAATAAGTATTGGATGTTTTTTCTTCTGCTCCATTGAAGGCAACAAGACCTTTCAGTTCAGTGAGTTCAGAACCATACTGTAGATACAGAGCAGATGTAAGGTGAAAGGAGAGAGCTGGGGAAGACCTTTCCCAAAGGTGCTCAGAACCCAAGTATGAGTAGGCGGTGAGGTGAGCTGAGGCAGTGGAGAGAACTAAGTGGTTTTTTTCTTCAGATGTATGACTTGTTATTTTCAACAGAATTTTGAAGCCAGTAGTGATGATTTTCCAGAAGTGAAGTAGTAATATTAGGCTGGAGAAGAACGACCAAGCAGAGTCTGTTCTACATCAGCACTCTAAAGCAGATAGACTACTGGGAATACAAGGTGTGATGCTGCCTGAAGGACAGGCACATAAACATTCAGGCCATACATCTGATGTGTGTCCAGCATAAAGTCCAGGGTACTGATCTTTAGTGTGTCAGCAACTGCTTGTGATACAAACACAGCACAAGCACCAATGCTTGCGGAGTAGGCTGTTCCTCTATGACATTTGTCTTTCCTTATGCTTGTGGGTGAGGCCAGGGTGCCCAGCTGTGCAGAGGGTGGAATGGAGAGCAAATGGGAATGGATTTTGGTAATCCTCTGTGTCTCGCCTTGCCTGAAAGCATAGGCTCCATTCTACAAGGAGGACTCCTCTGCAAATGAGGATGAAGGTGAAGTTTTTGCCCAGTGCCTGGGAACAGTGGCAAAGGGAAGACTAGCTGTTGCTGAAGTTGGATATTGATTGATTGAGGGGCAGTAATTACACATCCTTCTCCTTTCCTTTGGTGCACAGTATTTTTACTCTTGTCATTTTCATCAGAAACTTAATTTTGCAATTAATATGACTGTTGTAACTAGTGGTTTTAATTAACTATTATTTTCAAATGGGTCACTTCTTAGAAAATTTCTAACCAGATTCATTGCTGTGCTTATAAGGGAGGAGACTATAATGTGAGAAATGTAGCAAAATAAATCTCTTGAAAAGTGGTTGGAAAACAATACCAATATTTAAAAAAAGATTTACTGTTGCTGCCTTGCCTAGCAGAATGTTTTATCTGTGTTTTTATAAATACCATGAACATAAATTTAACTTTGTCCTTTGCTGACTGCAAAGGAGGAATCAGAGACTTGTCTTCAAGAAACTGTTATGAATTCTCTTCCAATAAGGCAGAGCTGAGTTGATTTTTGCTTTGTCTAAACACATAGCTTCTCCTTCCTTTGAGTGCTATTTTTCATTCTCCTTGTCCACCCCAAGGCATTCTGCTTTTGTGGAGTTGCATGATTAGGCCTTCAACTGATGTGCTTGATTCTATTACTAGTGTTTTTGTTTCCTGTGTCACTGCAGACACATGAGCATGAGGAAAGTAAACGGGTCACTGAGACATGAGCATGAGGAAAGTAAACAGGGGTCTCTAATATCTGGAAAGAATCTCTAGCATCTAGAAGAAAAATCTGGTAAGTCCCATTCCAATAAAAAGCCATTCATAAAATCATTTTATGAATGAAAAACAGTTTTGCAAAGAGGAGTACTAATTTAATAGTCTAATTTTACTAATTTTTCACAAGCAAGTTGGTGGAAGTGTTGGCCCGGTTTCCCTACAGCAACTTATCTGGAGAAAGGAAGCTATTGATGCGCTCCATATTTCTTTCACCTCGACTGTAATACTCTGTACCAATAAAACCTCTGTTGTCAGAGGACAGAATTCACTATGAGCAGTAAGCTGTACAAGTTTCTTATGCCTCTTGCATGGAAGTAGACAGCATGACTTGGTGAGGAAGCAGTGTGATTCAATGGCAGATCAGCCTCCAGTTTCATCCTCTACCTGCAGATTTCTACCTCGGTGGGAATCTTGCAGTCAGTTACTAAAAACCCTATCTCCTGGTGTTTCACATTCAAGGCAGAAGGTGTCCTGTGTTCTCACAGCCTACATATGAAACATCCTACGTAGTTCCTAACCACCCTCCTACTTTCACTCTGCGGGGGAGTTTGTCTTTACTAGAAACAGTAATTGCAAACGTGAACTTCATATTTACTGAAAGCGGTAGACTGCTTCACCCTGACTCATGGAAAGGAGCCCAGATATTGGGTAATGGCTCGCTTCTTGATAATCCATTTCTCATCTTGCACAATCTTTGAAACGAAGGCCAGACTTCTGTGCCAGATTCAGTGGTAGAGGTGATGCATAGGGCTGCTCCGTCTTTGCCAGGATATAGGACGGAGCGATGAACTGCAGGAGTGTTGCTGACTGGTGAAAGCAGCCTAGTATTGTCTCAGCTGGGTTTCAGAGTGAAGGCACAAATATCAGCATGTCTTCTAGTTTCAGTTTTAGAATAACAAATCCAGTTTGCTTCTTGTACCTCCAGCTGAAATAAAAACTGTTACTTTTGTGCTCTCCTTGTTTCACCTCCCTAATGAATCTTTGGCTCCCTTTTTATTTTTTTCTTACCTACTATTTTTAATTTTTTTTTTTAATGTACATTGATGTTTTACTTCAGCAGGAAATCCCCTTTTTTAATGCAATGTAATGAGTCATAACTGCTGTTTGCTTCAAGCTGTTTGCTTCAAGCTGAAGGGGATTCCAACTATTTAGTTGTATTACTACTATATATAATCCTGTTCCACTGTGTAGGTTGTAGCTTTGCAAGAGAGAAAGGTTTGACAGAGCTGTAGGTTGAACAAGCCATGTTGCCACCAGTTTTGTTTAATAAATTGGAGATTAATAATTATTCCAGTGAGTAGTAAGCAGCTTAGGAATTCAATAGGTCAAAATACATCTCAAATTGAAAAAAGATGCTGAGCATTTTAGTATCTTGAAAGGTCTGTATGGGTGCAGGGAGGTTGGAGGTTGGGGGGGGGGTGGGAGGGGGGGAATAGGAGAACAATACATGATAGCTTGTGAGTCCAGTAACAAATATTATTATTTCTTCAGCAAGAAGCGCAGTCTGGTTTGAGTTTTTGTGTGTGCTTGGAATCAAAAGTGAATTGCTCAAATTTTTTTTTTTTTTTTTTTTTTTTCCTGGTATGGAAGGATGGTTTGAAATTCTTTCACTATAAATGTGTTGATCTTTGTGTCAGCATTACTGTTGTTTTAGCACATGTTACCTTAAGCTGCTGTCTTCTGAAACCTCCCTCTACCATATTCTGTTATCTGGAGTGACTGTACTAATACTGTGTGCCAGAGTATTAATCATCTTTCAAAACTTCGTGTGCCTGCAGGAGATGGAAATTTTTGTTTGCAATAGCCTTTGGTCCTTTGCTTTTCTCTGCCATTTAAACAGAATTCAGCAACACCAGTTATCTAGGAACAAAATGAAATATAACCTGAAGTCACCATTTTAAAAGCAAGCTGTGGCAGTATCTTCAGTATTAACATGTGTAAGGGAGTGGTTGTATGTTGAGATATGGTGGTTATTAACCATTGAAAGGGACCACGAGATTGCTGAAGGTACCACAGTAACACTCTTGAGTTTAGAAAGAGTCATACTACTGGTTTTACAGCATATTGCTGTAAAGGAAATAAGTTAATAAAAGCCACAGAGATGTACAATTTCCCATTGCCTTTGACTAATGTTTTTAGAGAAAGAACGTATAAAAATGATCTTAGTTGAAGATGAGGGGATTTCCTTAGGAAGAACACTTCTAAAATGCATTCAAGAAGGTCTTGCTCCAATCCAGTGACCTCAGGTTGTTTTCTAAGAGTGAGAAATGTCAGCCCAGATGAATGGAAGACCAGAGAGCAAAATGCCCAAGCCACTTCTGGGACTTAATGTTTTGTGGGTTTTTATTTATTTATTTTTTTTTTGAAGGAATTCAATTGCTAAAGATTCTGAATCTCATAGCAATGCTCACAGATAATTACTTAGCTTAGCTGCAGCCCACTTGAGGTAGCTGGACCCAAAAGAGCTGGGCTACCCAGCAGGACAGAAAAACTCAAACTGCACAACTTGCACCAGGGTGATGTGGTGAGGAGGCTGTTGGGTGAGTCTGTCTCAAATCACTCTAGGTCTGGGAACTGACTAGAATGGCTTCACCACTGCACTGGTGAAGGTAATGCTATCTGAGTAACGCTTGGCTTCCCATTTAGCAAGTGCAGGTGAGGTTGTCTTAGGGCCCAATGTCATAACCATATGATGCTGAACAGAAACTGCTAAGCCCCCCACAGCGTAACACCCACATGGATCTAGAGCACAAACTTTGAAAATACTCCATTTCTGTCTTGTCTGGATAGTCCTCTCATACAGGTTGCATTTTCCTTCACTATTTCTCTCTGATTTGCAGAAGCTGGATACGTCTTTTCAGGAACATAGGGTGAGCTAAACTTGAATGTCTGCTAGCACTTGAAAAACTAATAGATAGTGATGGGACATCTATTAGACTAACTGGCTGTCTGCTGTGATTTAAGGCAGCTTGAAAAGTAAGATGCACAGAAATGTATTGCACAGAGTAAGATTGTAATTCATAGGTAGATATACCTAGGTTATAAACTAATCTTCAGTACTTAATGCTTTTGTTTGTTTGTTTTCTTTTTAAGGTTATTATTGCAGGGGAAGCACACAAGGGAAGTAAAGCTATTTGCTATAGCCTCCTACTGCTCCAAGCACTTGTCTCTTTTTTTTTCCCTTAATAAAAAAAAAGAATAAAAAGAGCAACCTTATCTCCACTACAGCAAATGGCTTTTCCTTGCATCATTTAAAACATTTAACAACCTTTTCCTTTACCATTCAATGAATTTTTACATTTTTTTTTATTGTTCCCCAGTGCCTATACATTGCCTCTGTCTATGTTTTATGAGTAAAATCTGAATAACACAAAGGTGCTTTTTCCATAAAATTAAGGTCATATGAGGTGGAAATAGCAGCCTTAGATCAGGAGAGCCTTCATTTTTATTACCCTTTCTTTTGTTAACAGGAAACAGTACTAAGGTGGTTTTCTTAAAGGATGTTGTATGGGAATTCTTGCCTTTACAAATTTTTGTTGATGTTGTCCGATTGCTTATGTAATAGGGAACTGTATTAGAAATGATTGGATCTAGCTTCTAATGGTGAACTCCCTCTCTATTGTGGGTTTTAACTTTGCCACACTCACTTCTATGTCTTGCACAATCATACAGTGAAGTAGATATTATTCTTGATTTTACAAAGAGGGAAAATTCATATATCTTATAGTAGAAGGGGGTGATTGTTTTGACTGTTATGATGTTATGTTATGTACTGGGAGAAGAACTCTTTGAGGAGTATCCCTGCTGAGAAGGACCTAGAGGTTCTGGTAGATGAAAAATTTAACATGAGCCAGCAGCATGCTCTCACAGACTGGAAGGCCAATGGTATTCTGGGTTCCATCAGAAGAGGGGTGGCCAGCAGGGACAGTGAGTTGATTGTCCCTCTCTGTTCTGCCCTCATGAGATCCTGGCTGGAGTAATGCATCCAGGTCTGGGCCCTGACACAAGAAAGATGTGGAGCTATTGGAGAGGGTCCAGAGAAGGGTATTAGTGGTAGTGAAAAAAAGATCATCAGATTATCCAGAGAGCCTAGAAAATACATTTATCTTCTGAAATGCAGTGGAGGCGTCACCCTTCACTGTCTTTTTCTCCTATAAGATACATTTTTTTCCTTGTCCACTGACAATCAGGATAGCTCCTATGAAATGTCTGCATTTCCACTGTTTTCCCTTGGTCACCTGCAAGCGTGACCCAGGAGAAGGGATCTCTCTATATTCAACTCAGTGCCAATAGCAAAGCAGTTCTTACTGGGTACATTAGGTCTTACTTTGTGTTTTCTTCCATTTTTTAAATCCAGGACCTCTTGTGTCTTGTGCTTAGTTGGCTATTTACAGCCCACAGTTGAGGTGTTAGTTGACAATGACATTGATAAGCTTACTTATCAATGGAGGGAGGGGCATTTTTACACAATACTGTTTGATATCATTCGGTTTTCCTCTATTCGGTATCATTTGCCACCATGATCATCCAGTTCCAATAATGCTTTAGGTAATGTAGCCTAACATTTGCTGTACTTGAATTCCACTCCCTATACAGAGGGACAAGTAACTGTAGTGAAGAGTGGTTACTTTCTGTGAATTTTTCTTTATATTTTAAAACATTTTATCATGATTTATTTTAAAAACATAGGGAAATGTCATGCATATGCCTTATGGACAGCAACTATAGTCTTTGTGATGATCCTTCATTTTTTCCACAATATTCAGCTCATCCTTGAATCTTGGCATTTTTCCTTGGCCTTAACTATAGAGATGTTCAATGTTTCAGGTGAACTTGCAGTTTTTGGCAGTCCTTGAATCTGGAAGAAATATGCTTTGTCTCATCCAAAAAAACCCTAACTGTCTCTATTGTTTAAAGGTCATTTTTCCAACAAATTATTAGATGTTTCCTTAAGACTTCATTGTCATATAGTGTGGGAAACATATTATGACTGCAGGGTTTACTTTTTCCTCTTGT